AATATGGGACCACTGACTCTTTTTTGGTTTTCCCAATCCAAGGGGCAGACCAAGGTAGTTTGTTCGAAGATCTTCCACTTTGCAATCCCAATCTGGGATAAGAGCCCTCGTTTCAGAGATGGATAGGGCCACTCTGATTATCATGGATTTCTCCATGTTGACTTTAAAGCCAGTGGAAAATTCGAAGCATCTGAGGAGGAGGCGAAGGGTTTCTATTTCAGTAGGAGCAGCATCGATGAAGACAAAGTTGTCGTCGGCATATTGAAGGTGCGAGACTGCTGGTCCTCTGGCACAACTATTAAAACCTGAAAGGAGTCCAACCTGATATACTCGAGACAACAATTGACTAAAAATATGTGCTGCAGTGGCGAAAAGGAAGGAAGACAAAAGGTCCCCTTGCCTGAGGCCTCGAAAAGAAAGGTTTAGAATAACAACCCGTCATCCAGGTCCTCCACCTGTCTCCGAAGCCCATCCTAGCCATTGTCTCATCCAAAATTGGCCAATCTACGTGGTCGTAAGCCTTTTCCCAATCTATCTTGAAGATAAGGCCAGGTTTCTCAGCCAGGTGCCTAGAATGTCTACTTTCGTGTGTGACCAGAACTCCATCCATAATTTGCCCATCTTTAATGAAGGCACTCTGGGATAAAGAAATGACAAAAGGCTGGACCATTTTGAGCATAGTGGCTAGGACTTTGGACAAAATTTTGTAGGTAGAATTGATTAGACTAATAGGTCTAAAGTCCTTAAGTTCATCAACCCTCTCTTTTATGAACTAGGGCTATGAACGTCGCATTCATAGCCTTATGAAGGATGCCCCTATGGAAGGATTCTTCAAAGAAGCTTAGAAAGTCAGGTTTTAGGGTATCCCAGAAGACCTTGAAAGGGGCAGCTGGAAATCCATCGGTGCTAGGGGCTTTGTCTGTGCCTAGGTCCTTTATAGCGGACAAAATTTCCTCTTCTGAAAAAGGGCGTTCCAGCCATGTAGCCCAGTAACTAGGGATAGAGACGAATTGGATATTGCCCATCCTCGGTTTTGGGTGAGAGGGAGCTGTATAGAGGTTTAAGAAAAAGAACAAAATGGCTAGCTCAATGTCGTGGGGCTGGTCTAAAACTCTATTACCATCCTTCATAAGCGAGATGGAATTGTCCCTTCTTGGACAATTGTTCGGTGTTAAGGTTACCAGCCCGTAACCATTTAACTCTAGATCTCTGAAACTAGTAGATTTCTTCCTCTTTGAGAGCAGTGAAGTAGTCCATTTTGTGTTGAGATCTAAGGAGTATTTCAGAATTTGCAAGGGGTTTGGTTTCTTCGATGAGGTCAAGGGCTTGGATTGCATTCAAGAGAGAATTATGAAGTTCAGTTGTGAGAAATTGCCCGGTAAGGTTCTGCTCCAAGATTTGAGGGAGGCCTTGTTGGATTTTCGTTTGGAGCCTGTAGCCAGCTCTTCCCAATACGAGAGGGTCGAAGGAGTTCCACCACAAGGGAATTAGAGAGGAAAGTGAGGATTCCTCTAGCCAAGATAGCTCAAACTGGAAGGGTTTGGGCCCCCTAGTGAGCGACGCCATATCGAGAATGATGTGGCAGTGGTAAGAGGTGGGTTTAGGCAGTGCTAGAGCGTGTGAGCCTGGGAAGGCGACGTCCCAATCTAGAGAGAGAACAAATCTATCAAGCATAGATAGGGAAGGAATGATAGAATGATTAGACTAAGTAAATTGGTTTCCTTGGAGTGGGATATCTATGAGTTCATTATGCGAAATGAAGTCTGAGAAATCCGTCATCCCTTGAGAGATTGAGGGTTGGAACTTCTTTCAAAGGACCACCTAGTGATATTAAAGTCCCCCCTAAGCACCAGGAGGGGTGGGGAAGGGACTCCACGAAGTCCAACTCGTTCCAAAAGGATGGCCTAAGATCTGCAGAGTTTGGGCCATAGATGGCCATGAACTTCCAAGGGAAGCCGTCAGAAGTTCTGGACAGGAGGACAGTGACTGAGAATTCACCGAGGTGGGAGTTGATAAGGGAGTGTTCGGAGGGCTTCCAGATAACCCAGATACCCCTTAAGGCACCTACTAAAGGGAGAGAGACCCATTTGGCAGGGTCTGTGACCCCAAACCCGTCTAATAGATTGCAAGGTGGGTTGGGGTTGTTTAGTTTCTGAGAGAGCCAAAAGGGTGGGACAGTGTCTTGCACACAGGTCCTTGGCGACATTACGTTTAATGGATTGACCCAATCCCCTCACATTCCAAGAGATTATCTCCATCAGGAAATGAGTGGGAGATGGGTGGTCGCCAAACGAGCAGACCTCTTGAGAGGAGGATTCAAGGGATCCGCTACCAAAGATAGCGGGGTGGAGGTCGAAGCAGATGGAGCCACTGATGCGGGATTATCATAGTTAATCTCTGAGTGGAGATTGAGCACTTCCCCTTGTCCTTTAGGTCTCACCTTGAGTCTACTCTGGGTTCCTGCCATATAGAAACTATGGAGAGGGTCTTCTGGTCCTTCGGGTGGGAAGCCCATTACCATGAGTAGTTAGTTGAAGTTGGCCTGACCACGATCAATCCCATTGACGCAATCTGAATCGACATAGAGAGATGGAGAAGGTTTAGGGGTAGGAGAAAGGTATTTGGGGTCTGAGTGGGCAGAGGGGGGTGAGAAGTCAGTGGCCAGGGGGGTATGAAGGGACTGATCTAAGGGATTAGAGGGGTAAAGGTCATCAGGAAGGCACAGGCGGATCTCGGGGGAAGAAGTGTTGGAAGTTGTCTCAGCCACATGTGAAACAGAACATATAGGTGTGAAAGCGGAGGGGGTGGGGTTGTGGGGGGAGGGGAAAGAGGTGAAGCAGAGGTAGAGGTCGATGGGGGGAAGACGGGGGGAGAAGGGTTGGCCGTGGGGAAGGGGGGCAGAAGGTAGTTAGGTGTAAAGGCATAAGGGAGGGTATGGGGGAAGGTGAAGGGGGTAGGGTGAGAGAGGGTTGTGAAAAGTGAGGATTGGGCTGAGGGACAAGGGAGGGTAACTGGGTGACCCAGGCAGAAGAGTGTTTGGGGTGGAGGAAAGAGGGGTGAGGAGGGAGAGAAGCAAGAGCCACTGGTGCCAGGGGGGCAGCAAAAGGGTCAAAAGGTTGATGCAGGGCAGGCTGGCAGGCGTATGGGAGGTCACGGTTTGGGCTAGGGGGGTCAAGGCAGGTTAAAAAGGAAGGTGAGGGGCCAGCATGGCAGCTAGTGTCTCTGGATCGGGGGGTGGGCTGCTTATCCTAACTGTCACAATGCAAGAAGGGTAGTCCATGGATGTCTAGTATTTCTTACGACAAACAGCAGTAGTATTTTGTTCGTTTTCCACCTAGAACGTGGACACAAACACAAAAAGTGAATTGTCCTTTTGGCCATTATATGTGAAAATAACTAGTGTTAGAGGATGAAGCCTTTTTTTTTCCAGTAACAAGATTTAATATATGTATATTTACATGTTCATGAATAAATACATATTTCGAATGAATACATTCGAGGGAATTTAGGTGTGGCTTCAATGGGCGATGAGATGAGCGATGGTAGATTTAGGTGGTTTGGCCATGTGCAACGTAAGCCTAATACAACATTGCTTAGGATATACGATTTGGTTTAAGTTGAAGGCTCTAAAAGGGCAAGCGGAAAGCCCAAAAGGACATGGATGGAAGTAGTGAGAAAAGATATGGTGACTTATGGTCTTATTGAGGGTATGACCCTTGATAGAGCAGAATGGTGGAATAGGATTCATGTAGCCAATCCAAATAGTTGGGATAAGGCTGGGATGATGATATGAGTATATAATAAACTATACAAAATGAAAAGAAAATGCAGAAGACTACTTGCTATTCATATATGCGAAATAAAATCCAGATACCTAAGGTGAGGTGGCCCCATATTGCCAAGTTTCTTGATTTGAAATGGGTGCATATGGTTAAGTTAGCTTTTTCTTTTACTGGACTACTGATTAGGCCATTCATTGTAGAAAAATGACACCATTGAGTCTCCTTGATGGTTGGCATATGACCATGTTTGCGAAGATTAGAGTTCATTTGAACAAACTTCAATGTACAAGATGCGTAAGTGGTGCATGCATTGTAACGATCCGAAACAAAACATAATGTGTCTCGAAAGCATCAAAACTCTTTACTTCTTACTACACCCTTCTTGTTGGTTTTTAAATTAAACTGAATATCTTCCAAAGTATGAGTTTCTATTTAGGAAAAAGTTTATATAAGTTGCAACCTTATACCACAGAAGTAGAGTGCACCTCATAAATCCAGTAGAAAAGAGTGTTCCAAAGTTGGAAAACGTTCCAATTGATCATTTCTACTTCAAGATGTATGAATCATCATCATCATAATAGATTTTTTCCAATAATTGGGGTCGGCTACACGAATCCTGGTCTGCGTGTCTGCTCTATTAAAAACCAGACCCTCGGTGAGGCCATAAGTTCTATATCTTTTCGGACTACTTCCAACCATGTCCTTTGGGCATACCCTTGTCATTTTCAATCCATCCATTTGAACTAACTCGCACCTTCTAACATGTGCTATACTATTTCAAGCCCAAGAATAGTGCATCTTATAAAAAGTTACTTGGACCGTCTATTTTCAAGATTTTCAAGTGCTTATAGATCTACTCAATCTGCACTAGTTTTAGAATTTTAAATTTCATAATTAGGGTTGAGCAATGATTTTCAAGCCATCTTAAGTTTGCTGAAACCGGAAGTACATCTTTTGGCAACTTTTAAAAGTGCGCCTTACTTGAATAGTACAAGGTGGGCACCTTGTACAAACCTCACCCTTCCATTTATCGAGACTTTTGCCAAGTGTCTCACTAAAAAGTGATTGCCAGAAATTGCTTTTCTGGAAATGGGGGATTAAAGAAATCATGTTTAATGTCGATCACATTGATATTGGCCATTAAGATGTATTTTTGTGTTCATGCTGATCAAATTCTCTATTTGTGCATTTGGTGTGACATATACTTTGATTTTGCAGGATGAGGTGGCTCGATTTACAAGGGAGAATCAAGTTCATAGGGGATATTGATGTTAGCCTACTTATGGTGCGGAGCACAGATGCATCTTGTTTTGCTGTTATCATAGTTTATTAACTGTCTGGATGTGTATGTATTTACCTGTTGAAAAGTGTCATTCACATGACTTGGAGATTCTAACTATTCTACCCTCAGAGAGAGAGAGAGAGAGTCTCTGCTCATGAGGATGTTTTGGTGGTGAGTAACCATGCTCATGGGATGTTTTTTGGTGGTGAGTTACCAAACCATGGACTACTAGAAAGATTAACCCCTTGAAAGTTAGTGAACTCTAGGGGTGCTCTGGGTCCAGTTTCTTTTTGTATTTGGGGATTCCATAACTCAATTGATTAAGGTTTTTGGTACATATGGAAGCCTTTATAAAGATCAGAATAATGCATTGTCTTTCTATTCGCTTCTGGATGTCCTCTCTTTGTAACAGGGCCAGGGAGCATATCGTTCTTTAAAGGTTTTCAAAAGCTACCACTGGATTGTTGCGCAGCGCAGTTCGGACGGATCTACTAGTACATGGGCATATTCCCCTTTTTGAAAAACTAACGAAAAGTAACAGCATTAAAAGAGAAGATATTCAAAATTCAAAGCTTTTTAATTTGTTTCCAACTGAATATTTATAAAGAACCATTTCCATCTTTATGGGAGGACTATCTGAGCTGTTAGTCGCCCTCTTAGAGGCTTTCACTGGTTCCATTTGCTTGGCCCAAATATGCTTTGATCTTATGAAAGGCAAATGATGTTCTATTCCTTTAAAATACCAAATACATATTTAATAATATACTCCGTCCAACCTCCTAAAATCCATATTGGAGATGGAATTTTTGTCAATTTGAGCCTTAAAAATGCTCAAATTTACTTTTTTCGTTCAATTATTCAAAGATCATCGTATCCGTACTATCGTTTTGATAAGGGAAATATCATAATGCACATAAGAGACCAACTATTAAACTTTTTTCACATCTTTTGATTTAATTTCAAAATGCTCATCACGATATACATGACCATCAGGCGGGTTAGTTGAAAATGGAAAAATTAAATTTAGGTGTCTTTTGATAAATTTCCCTTTTAATTATTAAGAGATCATCAGATTTGTATTATATTTGGAGTTCAAAATCAGATGAGGTAGAAACAGACTTATAGTCCTGTATTCTTTGAAAATTAGGGGACTAATGATTCAACTGACTCACTGAATGCTTTTCGTTTAACAAAAAACAAAAATTCTGTGGTTCAATACTTCAATCTCATGGAATTCAGTTTGCTTCCCCTTTTTTGTAAAGGGACAGTATTCATGCTTTCATTAGGGTAACAAGGGATGATTGGGAGGGTGACAAATGATGTGTTATTTCTTCTAAATAATCGGGAACACACAATTCACAAATTATAGTGATTTTATGATTTTAAAATTTTAAGTCAGTATGATTCTATTTTTTGAAAAGGGAAAGTGTCCATGCTTTCATTTGGTTTGCCTTGGTTGCTTAAACCTTTCCCAAACCGTAGATGTCAACAAGGGACAGTTGGGATTCTTCTCTCTCTCAAGGCCGGTGCTCCAACATAACGTCTTAGGCTCCTATCCCATTGTTAAAAAAAAGAAAAAAAAAGAAGAAGAGATAAACCTAAAACAGAGCATGCAATACAAACCCTTCTGAAAATGTTGTAGTGAAAATTGGTGTTGGGGAGAAAATCTCCGCCAACTGGAGGAAAGATCTCTTACTTTCTAATGGTTGGGTGAGGTTGAGCGAGATTCCAGCAAAGCAGCGCATATACTATGCTCCTGATGGAACTTAATGTCCACTTACTCTCTTGGTTGAAAAAGATATTTGGAAAGATTTTTTAGATCTCAAGTTTGGAAGGCACTTAAAGTTTAGTTTTTATTTTTTTACTTTTTTGACAAGGTTAAGGATTATTATATGTTTAACTTTAAAAGATTTTAAGTTCTTTAATACTTGGATTTGACCGATGGAACGTTGAACCATCCAAATTCAAATTTAATATGTGAATGGGTCGTGGTGGTAGGACCCCTATACCTAGTTACCATATTGTGGTTTTCAATCGTGCCGATACCACCTATTGATACTTTAAAAAAAGTTAATTCTCTAATTTTATATGAAAAAAAATGGTAGAGATATGTCTTATCTACGGAATTACCCAAAAAAAAGAAGAAGACATTATTATTATTATTATAATTCAAGTTTACAGAGTTCATTTGATTTGATTTGATTCTTTTTTCCTTTTTTTATTATTATTATAATTTGGTCGTTATTTAGATACACTATATTAAGCTTTATTCGAGAGGAGTAAATGAACATTATGTTCCTACAGGAGCAAGAGGTCTTTTGAAACCACCATCTCGAAAAAGTGGGGAAAAAAAACTGGATATCATCCCTTCCATCACCCACCCTCCCCAAGCTAATGGAGCCAAAGAGTTTGGGGTTTATCCTCAAAACTGAACCTTCGGCCTAACAAACACACCCTTGTGGGCATTTAAGAATTAGGAGAGACTATGACAGTACACCGTACACCCCTAGCATACAATACAGGGTACACCGCATGGGCAATTTCCTGTAAATGGATGGTAGAGATTAAAGCAACTCCCATTGACATTAACCTGTGTGCAATTAATCTTCACCGTTGTCATCGAAAATGAAACGGGCATTGGATGGTAAATTTCCGGGAAGGATGAGGTTTATATAAGGCTTAAATCTTAAACAATAATGGGAGTAAGGTGCACTTTCAATTCGTGCCCAAAGATGTAGTTTTGGTGTCGAAAGTGTCAATCATAGTCTATAGATTTATTTTCACTTTCTAACATGAAACTTAAATCTCTAAAAATAGTGCAAGATCAAGTAGATCAAAAAATACTTGAAAAATTTAAAAAATGGACGGTACATGTAATATGACATAAGATACATTATTTTTGAGATTTGAAAATCCTTGTTTTCCAATTCTATACATATCGAGCTTAATGATCAATTACACCGTTTCTATTGTAAAAGAGGTAGACTTTTGTGATCCACCTTACTTTTATAATACAAAGTTGATACCTTTGTAGACATTTCGTACCCAAAAAGCTAAAATATCTGGCAAAAGAAGTCTTATAGTAGTTTTTAATGCAAGCACCTTTATCATTTAGCATAAATATCGCTTGTAGTAACACAAATAATGCAAATGGCTCACCAAAATTACGTTGCAAATAAGAATTGTCAAAACAAAAATAAGATCCGTTTTGGTGGGTCAGGGTTGAGGTTGTTGGAGTGCATATCTTGATATCCGCACCATTTACCATAAATAGTGTAGATGGCACCTAAAAAAGTCATAGTGAGTGCTAATATAAAAAGATAATAAGATAAGGGGCTTGTATATAATGAGACCATTTATTTTTTATATAAGGTGGTCACAATTACTTACAAACATTCAATGTGAAATTTGATAGCTTGGATGTGTTGTAAAGTTCGAGAAATTTTTTTTTTGAAGTTTGAGTTTTGTCAATGGAATAATTGCGACCACCCAATTTCACATCCAGTTGTCAAGATTAATGTGACCACTTTGTTTCAATGGTAAATGGTCTCATCCTATACTTTCGCAAAAGATAAATCAAATAATTTAGAAGGCGACAGAAAATTATTATGAACTTTGTATTTTAATTAGACAATATAGACTTAATAGTCTTAAAAGATGTACTAGATTGCAACATTGTCTTAAAGAGCATATGAAATCTATATCATCCAACTAATATAAGATTCTATATACGACACCCCATTGATAATGAGAAAAGTTTATATAAAATTGTAACCTTGTACTATATAGGCATAAGGTGTATAAAAAAATCCATTAGAAAAGAGTGTTTTGAAGTTGGAAAACTTTCTGTTTGATTTTCTCAACCTCGAGATGCATGTATATTAAAAAAAAAGAAATCCAAGTCCTAAAATGAATGTATATTATAACAAGTTTTCTAGATTGTCTATTTTCAAGATTTTTAAGCATTTATATATATCTACTCGATCTGCATTATTTTTTAATTACAAAAATTTTAATAGGGCGGAATATATTTATGACACTAGAACTACATCTTCCAACAAGATTTATCGGTAGACCTTACTTGTATAATATAAAGTGAGCACCTTATACAAACCTCAACCGTTAATACAAGTAAGGTGCCATCTTATACCATACAAGTAATATGCACCTCTAAATTTTAACAGAGGATGCAGTTCCAGTATTGGAAATCTTATGATGACTTGAAAACGTTTGTTCAATACTAATGATAAAATTTAAAATTTCAAAAATAGTACCTATCAAATATATCTATAAACACTTAAAATTTTAAAAAATAGATGACCTAAATAACTTGTTACAAAATATTTTAATTTTAAAATTTGAAAGTTTTAATTCTTTAAATCGCATCTTCATGCATCTTCTACTAGATTGATGTACCTAAAGTTAGTCCTTGGGTGGACTTTTTCGGTAATTGCACTTAATTCCAAGCCCATGACCCCACGGTCACGTTATCGAGGGGTCCCTAAGTCATGTCTTCGACATATCTCAGCCGTCCACCCTCCTATCGCATCCCTCTCAACCGACTCTTGAATCTCCATTGTTACCGGTAACTCGATTCGGATCGAAAAATTCCGGGTAATCGTGTTTACTGGGAGCTCAGTTGGCTACCGGTGAACACCGGTAATCGTGTTTCATAAGAAATGAGAAGAGGGAGAAAACAGAAAACCACGCCTTATAAATACACACTACACAAACACCCATTCCTCTCATCCTCTTCTTTTAACAATTTTAAGGCCTTTAATCTCTCTCTCTAAAATCTCTCTCATGTTTCAGCAATTTTAAGGCTTTGCTCTCTCTCTCTCTCTAAGCTCTAACTCTTCAGCAATTCCAAGGTTTCTACCTAGCCTCTTTCTCTCTCTAGAAAAAATCATACCTATCCTCTCTCTCTAAATTTTTTTTAAGGCCTTTAATCACACTCTCTAGAAAAAATATACCTATCCTCTCTCTCTCTAATTTTTTTTGAGGCCTTTAATCACTCTCTCTCTAAAACCTCTCTCATGTTTCAGAAATTTAAGGTTTTGCTCTCTTCTAAGCTCTAATGCTTCAGCAATTTCAAGGCTTATATCTAGTCTCTTTCTCTCTCTAGAAAAAATATATACAGTCTCTTTCTCTCTCTAAAAATGAGGCTTTTGTTTCTCTCTATAGGCTCTCCCATTTAAGCAATCTTTTCAAGTTTCAACCATGTTAAGGTGTCTTGATTACTCTCTCTCTCTCTCTCTTTCTCTCTCTAAAGCATTTTGATCTCTCTCTAGCTCGCGTGCAAACAAACACGTGCACATACAAAATACCAATTTAAGGAGTTTTGATTGAGAGTTGAATTCAGAAGCAGGAGAGGAAGACGGAGGAGAAGCGAGGATGCATCTGTATAATGCATGGCTTCCACCACCTGTTGCAGAGCTTTGCAGCAGAGAGAAGGAGTCGTTTTCGAGTGTTGTGAGCTCTGTGAAGGATTCATGGCGGCGTGATGATCCAGAATCTCCTTATGCCACTCTCAAATTTGTTTCGATTATTGACGTGTGAGTGCATTTGAATTTTTGAATTTTGAGCTGTTTCATTCATGGGAGTTTTGAATTGTTAGGGATCTTGGTGCTTAATTGAGTTTTACCAGGTTAAATTGTAGTTTATAGCTGCTTAGTTTTTGTGCATTGAGCTAGAACTGGTAGCTTTATTTGGGACTTGTTCTGGTCTCTGAAAATTTTATCTTCTAGGGTTTTTAATTGGCCATTCTGGCTGCAAAACTCTTTGAGTTTTTATCCAAAAATATCATTTTTACGAAAACGTTTGCTTGATGAAGCTGAAATTGCAATAGACACTTCAGTAAATACGAGCTTTATCTGTGTAAGAATTTGGATTCTAGGACTTTTGATTATTTGGTTTGGTGAGACAAAACTGAATCTCAGTGAATTGTTTTGTCTTTCTCGTCTTAGTTTACTTTTGTATGGTACAATCTCGCATGTTGGAATAAATAGGAATAGGACCAGAGGAGTTTTAATCATTCGGGTTTTGAGTGTCTGGTCTCCCTAGGCAATGGTAGATTTTGGTTACTTATCACCCTTTTTAGTTTTGGGCTCTGATAAATGAATTAGAAGTTTCCTACAACACTTTTATTTCATCTCCTGTGGTCAGCTGCCAACATTTGATGGCAAGAGTGATGTTAAAGTACTGTAAGAGACTTCATTGAGATCATACTTTGGTCTTTTTCATTTTTGGTTGTTTTTTCTTTGTCTTTTTTTGGGGGGCAGGGGGGGGACCAGGGAAGTGAGGCGTGTTGTTTGTATTTATGGGTTTAACAATGCATTCGAAATGTTCATGTCATAGAAAACATGCTTAATCTATAAAAAAATTTGTATTTTTAAAGTTCTTGATGATGTTTGGTTGGACATTTCATTTTCCGGTCATTTTCCTTTTTCATGCTATATTGGGGGCTGCTATAAATTTCTAGTTTTGTTGTTTCCTGGCTTAATCTTATGCCATTCTTTGTGTTCTTATGTTCTTATGACTTGTGACTGTTTATGCATTTGGTTAGATTTCATTTCTTCAAAGTTCAAATCCATTACTCTTTTCATTTTAGCTCAAGGTTGTGACATTTCTCTTAGCTGAGGTTGTATTTGACTCTGTTTAGGCTTTTTGTAACAAATGTTTATTTGCTTGTTCTTTCCTTCTAATTTCTCCATGAGAAAAATCCATCAATTAATTTGAGGCAGACAAGGTCAATCATATTTGATCCATGCTCAAAATATTTGAAGGCAGAAAACCACTAATTGCATTTCTTTATCATGCAAAAATTTCTTCTATATCATGCATTGACAAACTTGTCTGCTCTATTAGTTCATGTTATTTTGAGTTAATGTGGATGATCTTCTTTCTCCAGGTTTATAAAGGCAAAAAGTGAAATTTCATTAGATGATGTAAAGGAACTTCTAGAACTTGGGTTAGAGTTGTTTCTTGCATCTCAAGATAAACTATATGTCCAGGTAAGAAACTTAATTCTTTTTGTGTTGTTTATGCAACAGTTTGACTTTTATTTTGTTAAGCTGTCAAGGTGAGCCTCTTTTAAAACAGAATTCCCTATGTCGATTAGGTTCGATGGGGAAATATCTTGGTGAGGTTGTTGAAGAAGCATGGGAAGAATCTTTCCTTACAAGTTCAGTGGCGACCCTTCTATGAAATGTTGATGCACATTCATTTTACAAGGTATCACGTGGAATTCAATTCCCATGCTACATGAACCCCATCAAGCACTTTTTAGAGCATATTTTTCATTTTTTAATAGGATTATTTTTCAACAAAGTAAGATTATGTTTTAGAAAGCATGGGAAGTTGGAGAGAAATTTTTTGAAGTTTTAGAAAATCAACTGAAGCAAGCATAATTTTTTCATTAAGGAAAGGAGGGGGCAAATGAACATGGAAAAAGTATGAAAAATATTGGATTTGACCAGATTAGTGGTACTTAAAACATATTAGTTAGATGCCTAGGTCTTTGCTTTGACGTTTTTTTCTTGAAACTATAAATTTTGATATTGAGTTCATTCATCTCATAGAAACACCGGTCCAGAGGGATGGAGATTAAGACAACGTCATTTTGAGACGTTGACTAGTCTTATACGTTCTTGTCGCAAATTTTTCCCATCAGGTTCTGCAGCTGAGATATGGTCTGAATTTAGGTGTGCTTCTATTTATTCATATTTACTCTCAAATTTACATTAAGGCATTTATTTTTTCAAGGTTGACTTCTCTTTTGCCCTATGATTGTCCATAGAGCTGTGGGGCCATGCGTTACTATATCTATTTTGTGCAGAGCATTCATGGAAAATCCATGGCATAACTCATCCTTTGAAGGGGCTGGTTTCATCCGTCTGTTTCTGCCAACAAACTTGGAAAACCAGGATCACTTTTCACTGTAAGGATTCATTGCTCGTTACAGTTTGGAACAAATATTTGTTCTTGTAAATTATTTGATGACCAAATATGTTTATATGTGCTTGAGCATGCCAGGCAATGGATAGAAGATTGCTTGGATTTATGGGCTTCAATACCAAATTGCCAGTTTTGGGATATCCAGTGGGCTAATGTGATTGCCCGGTGTATAAAGAATTGTCCAACAATTAATTGGGAGCCTTTTCTACCAGTGCTTTTTACACATTACCTGAATTTGTTTGAGGTATGGCATGTTCCCTTTAGTTATCGAATATCTGGATCTTGCACATTTACTGAAATGCATCTGAAAGAAATAATGGCACTCTTTCTAAGCGGCTTCTTTTTTTTTTCCCTATGATTGGTAATAAATAGGCTGGTCTGATTTTTTCTTGATTGATTGTGAGCATGCTTCTCCATGAAGCTGTCCTTCCTGTCCCATTGTGTGCTTGTCGTGTTTTTTCTTTAGGCCCAAACTTTTCACGTTTATTGCATATCGATGGTTCCTAAGTACTACAAAATCTTGAAGTATTTTCTAAGCTGCCATTTATCTGGGTATGATGCCCTGCTGTACTGAGGTTTCCTTGGCATACCTATAAACTGTATGTTCTAATTGACAGACATATATCCTATTCTGGTGCACACATTTCAACAATGCCGGGGCCCTATTCTTTGGTGATGTCATCATGAAAATAATGCCCTCAATTGTTTCATAATGACTGTTCATTGTTTCTCATGGTCATTTATTTTTCAAATTTGTCTTTAACTATGGTGTATGTGAATGTGAATATCACTAATACTCTTATGTGGTTCCAGCATTATCATGAGAATGTTGGTTACTGAATTGTGTTGGTGTTTAGTTGGTATATCCTATTTAATTTACGAAGTAAGAGACTGCGGTTATCTATCTGTCCATGGTTTGGTGGAAGTGGTTTTAAACTTTCTGGAAATTTGGTTGATTTGAAAAGCTACTTCTGGTGAAACAGGTTCCTGTTGCAAATGGAAGTGGTTACTTTCCTTTTCCGATAGATGTTCCGAGAAATATGAGGTTCTTGTTTTCTGGCAGAGTGGTTACTCCTGCTAATGCTATTGCCAAGTCAATTGTAAGCTATATATTTCTCTAAGTTTAGGCATTGTATAGCATAAAAATTATGGTTTTTTGGTTTTAGCATGGGTCTTAGGGAAATTTACTTGGTTTTTGCTATTTTTTCCTTTTGAATTTGTATTTGAGATATCCGTTATTATACTCTATAATAAGGATTTTCGTGCAGGTCTATCTTTTGAAGCCTGGTGGCCAAGCGCAAGAATACTTTGAGAAATTGGCTGATCTCTTAGAACCGTTGGCTTTCTTTTTAAACTTGTTATCTGTTCTGTAATATGAATATTGCTTCTCTTTAGCATAGCATAAATCTTTGTGTTTGTTTTTGTTAGATACTACCACCCTTCCAATGGGGGTCGCTGGACATCGACATTGGAACGTTTCTTGTGGTATTTGGTTGCCATATTCCAAAAACGTCTTCTACATGAGCAACAGTAAGATAACAATACCTTTGTCAATAATGTCAAATTGATACAATCTGTGGTATATTCTGGTGTTCGGTTAAGTTTCAAATATATTTATAGGAAGTTATTTTTTAGATTTTGAATATCCATCATTTGCATGTTTCGCTATATTCTGGTGTTCGGTTAAGGTTCAAATATATTTTATAGGAAGTGATTTTTTAGATTTTGAGTATCCATCATTTGCATATTTTGCTAGATGCTTTCCTATGTACTTATCGGCCTTCTTTTCACAGAAATGAGCAAGATGGAATCAGCCTTGCTGATCATTTTCTTGGAAGGTCAGAACGAACTGCATTTGTTAAAGTGGTACTGCAGTTTATTGATCGGGGCCAGTACAGTAAAAATGAATCTCTTGCTGAAACTGCCGCAGCTGCGTCTTCCATTTTATCATATGTGGAACCTACTCTGGTTCTACCATTAATTGCTTCTAGGTTCCACCTTGCTTTAGAGACCGTAAGTGTTTACCTTCTGCATCTTCAGTTGGTCTTACTTAGCATGAGGGCAACCTGTTTATAATGATCTGTTGTTTACCTGTCTTTTGCTTGTTCTTTATATATCTCTGGCTTCTTGCATAATGATTTTTTTTTTTAATCTTATTTCAAGATTACTTGTTCCTATCTTTGGATTTCCTATTGTGAAATGTGATTGGAAACTTAACAGTGACATGGATTGGGTTAAGTGTCACTAAACTTCAATCCTATTCAGATGACAGCAACACACCAACTGAAAAGTGCTGTCACAACTGTGGCCTTTGCTGGTCGTGCACTGCTCATGGCTTCTGGTTCTTCTATGCCATCTCCAGCTGATGTATCCAGGGATGATACTTCTTCTGATATTTATAATGAAGTCTTGGCTGCAGCTTTATCCAATGCATTGCTTGGCATGGATGCAAATGATCCGCCTAAAACACTGGCCACCATGCAATTGATCGGTTCCATATTTTCAAGTGTAAGCATGAATGATTCATGTGCATGATGCTCATCATCTGGTTGATCTGATTCACTTTCATCTTACTTTTCCGTAATTTTTGCAGTTAGCTAAAATTGCTGATAATGAATGTGGGGCTTCTTTTCTGCCAAATATTGGCTTTAGTGAATGGCTTGACGAGTTCTTGTGTCGCCTGTTTTCTTTACTTCGGCACCTGGAACCAAGCAGTGCTTCGTAAGTTACATTGTTAGAAAGCATCTATACTGTTGCCTGTTCAGGATTGTTTGGCACATCAGTATTGATCTGTTTTCTTTACTCATTCTCTTTAGAACTGCCTCTTCATTGGCAATTTTTTCAGTTGCTCCACTCTTTTTATTTGCTTTTCATTATTGGGCATTGCAGCAATGAGGGTAGCCATACGTCATCATCTTCGGGAACTTTCCTTGTTGAAGATGGTCCTTACTATTTCTGTTTGCTTGAGATACTACTTGGGAGACTCTCGAAACTTTTATATCAGCAGGTTCTATTTGTGCATGGATTTATTGAATTATTTTAATACGATTATGGTCTGTTACTTTCTTTTCTTTTTTTCTTCTTCCCCAGTTTGTGCTCAATATATGTTGATTGATTTTTGTGCAGGCATTAAAGAAAATATCTAATTTTGTCAAAACCAATATTCTTCCTGGGGCAGTTGCAGAGATTGGGCTTCTTTGTTGTGCAACTGTTCACTCCAACCCAGAAGAGGCTGTGGTTCATCTTATTGAACCGATTTTGTTGTCTGTTATCTCCTCTCTGAGAGGAACCCCAGTGTCTGGTTTTGGTGGAAGTGGAGCTATGGATCCATCATTTTCCAAAAAGGTTTCTAAACTGGAAGCTTTCATCGCAGTTTTCATTATGTTACTGGCCTACTTCCTAAGATATATATATTTTTTTTCCAGACAACGCTTTCTCCAGCTCTGGAAACATCTATTGATTATCACTTGAAGATATTATCTGTTGCCATCAGTGATGGGGGTCCTGTATTACTTCGCTACACTGATCAACTCAAAGAGGCCATTTTATCTGCATTCAATGCACCATCTTGGAAGGTTTTTATTAATCTATTCTCTGTATTATAGCAATGGCTTTGTTGTCTGCATAAAAACTAGTCCTCTTGAGGGAGCATCTCTTAATCCATGCAATCTTGTCTAGAATACATTTCTTTTTCTGGGATACAGGTTAACAGAGCTGGTGATCACCTTCTCCGTTCCTTGCTAGGTAGCCTAGCTCTTTATTACCCATTGGATCAGTACAAGTATGCAATCTACATCCCTCTTTTAGATATTACATTTTTCTTTCAGTTTTCAAGGTTTCAATGTATTTGTTGTGAAACCCTATGGCCTAGGGGTTTGGAGCTCATGCTCTCACATCCTTGGTTATGGGTTCAATCCCCTACTTAACATTCATAGAGAAAACACAAAAGTCTCATGTTTCTTAGTTTCTATTCTATGAATACAATTCTTACTGGCATACAATGAACTTCTTTTGGCCGTTTAGGTTCTTCTCGAGTCATTCATCAGTTGGCATGCTAGAGGAATGGTTGAGCACCAAAAGTAGTCAAATTGAAGATCTACCTGGCCCTAAGTGGCATGTTCCTACTGCTGATGAAGTGAAAACTGCAAATGAACTCTTAGATCTGCATTTTCGATCTGCTTTAGATGATCTCTTAGCAATTTGCCAGAAAAAGGAATACACAGACTTAGGTGAGCTCATTTAACCTGCCACTATGATGAACTGTTTTTAGGATCAATTGCTGACTTCTATATGATAAGAAATTTAGAATGGGAAGCTCAGCAGAGTACCTGCCTTTTATCATGGTTCCTTTCCTGATATAAACAAGAAGTATTCTGGCCTAGATTTCTAGTTTGAAATATAAATCTTATTATAATGGCCTAAGATCTGGTGATGTTTTCTTTTATAGAGCTTTGGGATTCTGATCATTTTAGAATTATGCATTTCCAGGTTACTGCAAGGAGCGCCTGAAAGTGATTCTATTGCGCATAGAGTCTTCATTGCAAGGGGTCTTGTCATGCTTGCCTGATTTCCATCCTTCCTCTAAGAATGGAAGCTCAGGAGATGTTGGTTATGGGCAGTTCTTTATTGCGGGAGCGACTGGTGCCACGGTTGGTAGTTCTGAATTGAGAGGAAGAGCTGCAGATGTCATACATCTAGCCTGCAAGTAATTTATAGCACTTCTTCCTTTGGAAAATTAACACATACAGAGATGCACTTCTTCGCTGTTTGATTTACTATGCTTCAATCTTGGTTTTTTATTTATTTATTTTGCTTGTTAACAATACTCAAATATTGAACAGATATCTTGTGGAAGAAAGATCTGATGACAGCATACTTCTGATGCTACTAATTCATATAATGGATGCCTTAGCAAATTTTGGTAGGTGCATCAGTAGAGTAATGATGGGATTATTTTTCTTCTTGATATGCCTATATATGGCACCATTTGTCTCATGATACCTATCACTTATTGGCATTAATGCGTGATTCAGGTAGTTTAGAATATGATGAGTGGTCAAATCACCGGCAGGCTTGGAAACTAGACTCATCTGCAATAACGGAGCCCCCATCGAATTTCATTGTTTTTTCTAATGCACCAGGAAAACGAAGGTGAATAACCTCTGATACCAATGGTTCTGTTATTTCCTCAAAGGAGAAATGTTAGCCCCTTATGATAATTTACATTCTTAATATTTTATTTGGATCCAGACCTAGGTGGGCAGTTGTTGATAAGTCTTATATGCATAACACGTGGCGATCATCACAATCATCATATCATTGTTTCCGTGTTAATGGGAACATTTCTCCTTCGGACCATGTAGTTCTTCTGATGGAGGATCTTCTGAGTCTCTCTTTGCATAACTACGAGGCAGTTCGTTCGTGAGTCTCTAACTCTCTGTTAATGTCTTGAAAACTGGAAGTTATTGGAAATTGATTCTTGCACACTTTCTTAGATATTGTTTTGATAAATAAATTCTAGGGCTGTTAAATTGGACTTTAATTCTTACATTTAGTCTACTGCTTCATCCTTCACCAGTTGTCACACTGATCACTTTCGTGGATGGTTATTATTCTTGAATTTGCATGTCAGGCTTGCGGGGAAGTCTCTTCTGAAGATACTTAGACGTTTCCCAACTTTGATTTCAAAATGCATTCCCACACTCACAGATGGTTTATGCGATCCAAACAAAGCAGAACATGTCGTGTTAGGTTCATGTTCCATTCTTGGAACGAGAACAATTCTCAGGCACACAACCTTGGTATACTATTTACATTAATGTGATTGTTTCTAGAAGAATATTGAGTAAAATCACCGTAAATTTTCATTTTTAATATATTTACATGTGATCCAGGATTCAAAGGCTTTCTCTTCATTTCTCCTGGGGATTCTAGCCAGGTAACCATTGAAAAAGCTGATGCAAATAGGGAAAGTCTATATTTTGCTATGTAAAGTCTAGCTCACCTTGTTTGGGCTTTTATGGGAACATTGAATTTTAGAAGTCTAGAACGCCTTCCACTTTTGCTATTCTTTCAGATATATTGCTTCTTGCTGTGAAGTCATTATCCTTGACCTTGATCTTTTCACTTTTCTTCTTTAGCTCCCATCACGAATCTTTGAAAGCCCAGAAGGCTATTAATGAGGTAACTCCTGATATGATGGAATTCTTTTCTTAAAATTATTATCCTTATTATATCCGAAATGTGTTAGTTATGTCTCAAGTTTACAGCTTTTTATCAAATACAACATCCAATTTGCTGGTGTATCAAAGAACATATTGAGGACACTTGAAGAGCCATCAGATGGATCAGGCTTTGCACAATTGGTTGCTCAAATCTCTTCTATGAGCTTGAATACTGACAGCATGCATTGGCGGTAATTTGTTTTCAACAACTTCTGCTTTACTCATACAGAAAAATGAAAAAGTGATCCCTAAGTTACTTTTTGTGTCTTACAAGCATTTATGGGCAATAATTTGTCTGCCTGTAAATCTGTAATTGCTTCAGAGTCTATTTCTTCCTCTATATTTGCACATGCTGTCCCCTTCTAAAGAAAACTATTCAGAGAAATGTTACATATTTTCTGTTCAGGTACAATTTGATGGCTAACAGAGTGCTGCTATTATTAACCATGACTCTTAGAAGTGGCTCTGATATATCGTCGAAAATCATGGCAGAAACTGCAGGTTGGTGCAAACATTTTCTGGTTGTTATTTGTTGTAATTATGATTAAAATAATATGCATGAACTCATTGACTTTTCGAGAGATTATAATTTTTCATTTATCATGCATTCAGCATAACCTTTGAGTGTACTAGTAACATTGATATGTTAATCAAGAGTCTTTTCATTGCCTTCATTTCAGTTCTGCTTTCTGTCCAGTCCTTCGTGTGGCCTTTCCCTTAGATGGGGAGTGAAAAATATTTAACAAGTCCATTTGATAACATTTGCACTTTCCTTTGTTACTCATTTTCTAGTCCTGTTTTCTTACTTTGATGCACTTCTATGTATGGCTATAGTCTAGGTAAAGAAATATACTCAGCCAAATAAATTTATCACCTCTTTTGTGTGGCCTACTACATGCAAAGGAAGAGTTAAAGGTGTCTCTTTTTCTTGTCACTGCCATTCTCTCTGTACATGATCAAATGATTATGAACCTGCTTGGATCTTTCTGTCCCTTGCCTCTCCTATGTGAAATGGTCACGGTGTAACAAACAAACTTTGCTGCTCCATTACCAAAGTGCCAAGTATTACCAAGAGCCTCATGAGAGACGGAGAAGTGCTTCCCAGGTTTCATTTCCATCTATCCTATGTTCGTTCTCTGTGCTATTACTGAGCTCATGGTCAACACTCTTTTCCTTACTAGTTATAAAAAACCTCCCTCCACAAATTTGATGGACACATGCTCACACTTTCATTACACACATGAATACATATTAAGAACAACAGAGTGAGATAGTTTCAGGCATTCGGTGAACATTAAAATTTCACTTGTATAACCTTAGAACATTGCATGTTCTATGGCTGCATAATGATTGAGCTTAGTAGTATTAATGATCTCACAGGGATGTTGGACATGTAGCTGTATGTGAAACCTTGTTTCCATGGCCATATTGCTATTTGATACCGTGATGGTGTCAACTTTTGAAATATATTAGCAATTTTGACAACCCAATGTGTTGGTTTTGTTTCTTACCTTTTTCTTATTTACCAATATGTGGAGAACTACTTGGTTTTTTGGTTTTCTTTTTGATACTTGCATTTGCCTTGTGCTGGCCATCTTCAGTCAAATGTCTTTTATGCAGATTTATGATTCCTCTTCGATGTAAGAAAGCTTTTTCATGTTTATTTCTTCTTGAATATGTGGCAGGACACTTTCTGAAGAACCTAAAGAGTCCACTTCCTCCATCAAGGATGCTCGCAATTTCAGCTCTAAACATTTTACTGAGAGGATCCTCATACAAGCTCTCAGACCTGGAACATGAATCCTCAGTCCTTTCAGAGGGAACCCTTAGAACTCCTATCGAAGGAGCTCTGATCCCTGTCTTTACAGAGGATGGGTTTTTTAATGATGCAATGAACTGCCTCTCTCATGACCATATTATAGCAGATAATGAAAATGCATCTTCCCGAGGAAACCATAGAACATACCAAGGTGCTGCAGATTCCTCAATCACACGATTTTATTTTGAATTTGCCGCTTCATGGCCACGCACACCAAGTTGGATTTCATTTTTGGGTGGAAATGCCTTTTATTCAAGCTTTGCGAGGATCTTTAAACGCTTAGTCCAAGAATGTGGAATAACAGTTGTAGAGGCCATTCATGATGCACTGGAGGACTTATCAAGTGCTAAGGAAAGGACAAAGCAATGTGTTGCTTCTGAAGCTTTGGCTGGAGTTTTACACTCAGATGTCCTTGGTCTTACCCAAGCCTGGGACTCTTGGATATCGAATTTACTAAGAAAGATTATTCTTCAGCCTAGCGTCGATTCTATGCCTGAGTGGGCAGCTTGTGTACGTTATGCAGTTACAGGAAAAGGGAGCCAAGGAAAGAGAGTTCCTCTTTTGAGACAAAAAATTTTCGAGTGTTTGGTGGAGCCTTTACCATTGACTGTAGCAACTACTGTAGTTTTGAAGAGGTATGCTCTTCTTGGTGCTGCTCTGCTTGAAGTCTTTGCACCAAAGATGCCTGCTGGGGAAGTCAAATTTCATGAATGCTTACTGCAAGAGTTTCTGGGTTGCATGAGTCATTCATCTGCTCAAGTAAGTCTATGTTTAGGTTTTGTTTTGCGTATATCTGCTAATTGTTATTTTCGCGGTCCTATTGTTGTTATTGTGGCCATACCATATGCTCTCTTTTGCATGCTTTTTTTGTCGAACTCGGTATAAGTTCCATGCTAAAAATGGCAGGCTCTTGTTCTATGAAATTTAGATTTAGAAAGCAGACTGTTACATATAGGGTTAATAACTGAGTGCTGGTAAGCATGGAGTAAGTGATACTATTGGCTTCCATGTTCTTGTAATGAAGTGGGAAACGATCGTGCTTGCTGGTAATGTTCCTGGAGCAAATGTCCTAGTGTTGTGATTGAATAATTTTGAGTCTATATCTTTGCATGTATGCAGCAAGGCAATGCATACTATGTTGCCCCATGTTTCTATACCAGAATTTATTTTGGCGAATTGGAAAAAAAAACTGTATAACCATGAGTGGCTCTTTCTTCCTTCCCTTGTTAAGGGAATGCTCCATATGTGATAAGATGGTTGAGAATTTTTGTTCGTCTACTTTGGGATTTTTTCATACTTTTAGAGACATGGTGGATCTATTGTTATTTTTCTTCATCAATCACATGCTTCGGGAAGCAAAATACCTTGTGTATAGCTTTGTGTTCATCCATGGGTCAAGTAATACAGGTCCCTGTTTTACTTGTACCCTGTGCTCTCTCTCTCTCTCAGTTAAATCTTTTTTAATTCATCATATACTTTCATAAACAATTTTTTCAGTTTAAAGGAATAAGGACCATTGCTTCTAAAAGTGAAAAAATAATGTGAAATAATGAAATTGTACCTCCTTGAATATTGCTTTGGTTTTATGTTATTTGATCTTCATGATGCAGGTGAGGGAAGCTATTGGTGTTACCCTTTCAATTGTATGCTCTAATATGCAACTCTTTACCTCCTTTGAGCCAAACCATCCATCTGAAATGATAGAAGATTCCATGGATTTCCCATATGGAATGGTCAAGTGGAAGGAGAATTTCATTACACAAGCTGCCAAAGTGGCTATCAATATTCAAAATGCCAATCAGTCTGGTGTTACAGAATATACTGTGGCATCTACGAGTGAAAATGGCTCCCAAAATGAGGAGCTACTAGAAGATGTGAAATGGATGGAAACGGTAGGCTATATTGGCATCTTATTCTTGTTTATCTAAACACCCCTCTTTTTTTCTCCTTTCTATTTATTGATCTATTTGTTTGTGCTAATGTTGACAGGTTTTCTATTTCACTGTCTCATCTTTGAAGTCCGGAAGATCTTCAGTTTTACTTGATGTAATTACTGGTCTTCTTTCCCCTGTACTATCCTTGCAGGTATGGATCTACAGATCTGGATGAAATGAAGTCCTAGTTTTTATTCTGATGATATATAAGTGTGTTGTTTTTGCCTTATTTTCTTCAAACTCATTTTATCTTCTCTGAAAATTTTTTGATACTGCTTTTGTGTTCTTGAATTTTTTTGATGCAGTTTGTGTAATTAAAAGGACAAAAGTTGATTGATCTTCTTGAGAATCTTCTTGGCATGATATTAGCTTAAACTTGTACCTGTAGATAATGCTTTCATAAATTTCAAATCTGTCCAAACATCTCTAGAAAATATATACTGATATTTGTGTGGTCTCCTTATTTGGATTTTCTTCCATGTGTTGAAGTTTGTAATCTTCTTTTATGTATCATACATCTGAGATGTTCTGATAAATGTCTCGCAATATTGTCTTTTTCAGAAAGTTGGGAATCTCTATATAAACTTGCACTGGGTTGTTATAGCTGTTTTCATATTGACAGGATACTATACACAAGGATCTATCAAATCTCGCGAAGGCATGCTTTGAGTTATTAAAATGGAGTATATTTCCGCAACCTCATCTGCAGAAGGCTGTTGCACTGCTTATTTGTTCAGCTAATGATCTTAATTGGCGTATAAGATTTGCAACTCTCTCCTATCTGCAATCTTTCATGTACAGGTATTTCACAAAATTTGGGCTATTAGTTAATTGAGGTGTTTGTATTGTGTGTATGATGCTGTATAATTACCATGTCAGCTGGAGGAGATAAGACTTTTTCAAATTTGTTTATATCTCATCATTGTCTTGTAAATAGATTGTATTACTTTGTCATTTCTCGTTTGTACTAGGGAAACATTGTACTTTGCCCCAACATGTAATCCATGTATCATCTAAAATTGGTTCCAAGAAATTCTCTTCATTAATCTTCACTGCATAGGACCATGTTTGAAATGTGGATCTTGTGCATGTGCAATCTAAGTTTCATCCCATATTTGGCTTTCCATAAAATTCGATGATATATACCTGAATTTTCTAAATCCATATTGAATATGGGCTAAAACATTTTCTTAATGTTTTACATGTTTTGTACCTTGTCACAATGATTTTCATTCAAGTCGAGCAAGTGTTACTCTTGAGGAGTACCAATAATGATAGAGTCATCAACTTTGTTTTTAGTGATCCATTACTCATAGTATTCGACAAAAGCTTTCACACGAGGCTTGTGGTTCTATAACCACCTTTTCTGCTATATCTAACTTTTGTCTGCTTTGAAGGTCATATAGCCTGGGGAGTTTTGTCTATTTATTTCTTCTTTTGGGTTTTCCATGTAAGAAGGCATTATTTGTATGTGATTGATTTTCTCTTTGGTCCAAAAAGAAAGAAGAATGTGAAGATTGCCTTGTATGTTATTTTTGGTTCCAACTTTGTCTCGAGGAATTTTGTAACATGTGCTGATGCTATGTCCTGCATTATTTTTTGTATAAAATTTTAGATGCAATTCTTGTGCAGTTGATTTGATCTAATTCATGATTTCTCGTGACAGGCATGCTTTCATTCTTCCAAATGTGGAAAAACTACAAATTTGGAAGAAAATTGAAGAACTTTTAACTGACAACCAGGTTGAGGTGAGTGGTATTTGGTTTGCTATTGTAGAGATGTGTGTTTTGCCATAGAAAACCTTTTGGTATTTTTGAGTTATACGTGAGTATGGTGATAATTTCAAATATGGTAATAATTTCCTTTTGCTTCACTTTTTCATGAGGAATTTTTCAGTTCTTTATTTCAATGGAGTTTGTGAATTACAAGGTTTTCAACATCTGGAGGAATGGGTGGGTAGCGTTGAAGCATGCCACTCAGCATGAAAAGTTCTAGAGGAAAGTACTAATTAATATGGTTCGCCCTACTGAAGTACGTCGTAACCTTCGGTTCCTCATCCCGAAACCTTGCTTGCCGTTCCCACTTTCTATGGATGTTTATAGGTTGCAGAAACCGCAGATAAAGTAGGGAACCGTTGGTTTGACCCACCAATTGGTGTGTGTGCGCACGTATGTGCGTGGAGCATGTGTATGTGCATCGGTGTGTATGTGTGCCCACGTGTGTGTGTGCATGTGCATGTGTGTGTGTGCGTGTGTGTTGTGTGTGCGTGCACATGTGTGTGTGCATGCATGCGTGCATGTGTGTGTGGATGCATGCGTGCATGTGTGTGTGGATGCATGCGTGCATGTGTGTGTGGATGCATGCGTGCATGTGTGTGTGGAGAGAGGGAGGGAAATTTTCACAAAGTGCCGCACGACAATAGCACTATTTTATTTTGTTTTATGATATAGTAATACATACGAGAGAACTTGGGTGTGGCTTCAATAGGCGATAGGATGAGGGAAATTAGATTTAGATGGGCTGGCCATGTGTGGCATATATCTAATACAACACTGGTTAGGAGGTGCTGTTTGGTTCAAGTGGAAGGTTCTAAAAAGGTAAGGGGAAGGCCCAAAAGGACATGGTTGCAAGTAGTAAGAAAAGATATGGTGACTTTTGGTCTTACTGAGTGTATGACCTTGATAGAGAAGAATGGAGGAATAAGATTCATGTAGCTGACCCCAAATAATTAGGATAAAGCTTGGATGATGATGATGATTATGATTCAGTAATACATTTTAGGTTGTAACTTCATAGTAATTCATTATGCAAGGAGAACATGCGTTATTCGTCATCCCTCGATTAACAAGAGCCCTAGCCAAGAAAAGAAATGATGTCGCCTTATCACAATGGGCAGCTTTGACAACCATATCCGTTTGCTTTTGTTTTGTGGTTTTTAAGCTAATGGTCATTTTGGTGGGACAAGTTTTATACATGTCCTCAAAAGTCTAGTTCTTGCTTATGTATGGAATTGCTTTCTCATATTTTTTGTTTATATTTCTGTGTTTAAATTTGTAGGTGAGAGAACATGCAACAACAGTTCTCGCAGTCTTGATGAAAGGCGGTGACCATGATTTAGCCAAGGATTTCCGTGATAAAGCATATGCCGATGCACTCTCCCTTTTCAAGAAACGAAATTCAAGGTCAATTTTGATGTTTCAATCTAGTATTATATCCTTCTCTACTTGGTCTATCTTTGTGTGTTTTATTGACTCAATCCTGAACTCTGCAGAAACTCCAACTCTAGTGGGTCCCTAGCTTCTACTCATGGTAAAGTTTTGGCTTTGGCAGCATCAGTGCTATCAGTTCCTTACGAAATACCCAGGTAATTTTGGCATTACTCTTGCAAATCAAAGTTCAAAAAAAATGTGCAGTGAAATGTGACCTGTTCATAATTAAAAGATGAGGAATCTTTTATGACTTAGTGGTTTTCTACGGATGTGGTTCAATAATTTATTGTATTGATGAAACCGGTGAATGAAAACTCAGCGAGTTCGACTTGGACTTGACTGGGTTAACCGGATTCAGCAGGCTGCTGAGTTTGGAACCAAACACTTGGCCGAGTCTGTCAGACTTGACTTGGGCTTGGGACCGGGCTGGAATCCTCAAGTGTCCTGACCCAAGTCCTTACTTTTTAATACTAGCTGATAACTACCAAAAAAATAGAAAATGGGAGGAAAATTTAAATGTCGAAAACTTGGAATGTTGGGATTGGCAACAAAAAGCTCTTATTTTTAGTTATGAATATTTCCATTTCATTGGTTTTCTTTCTTTATAGAGATATCATGAAGTTAATATTCTTTTTAAAGAAAATTGGGTACAATATAGGTGAATTGGTGAAATTTGGTTGGAAACTTCTTATAACAATGCTTTCAGTGCAGCTATGTTTTCGTTTATAGTAACAATGATGGTTAAAAATCTATTTGAAGGATTGATATTGACAATCTCTTCTTGAAAATTTGCATGAATGTTGGTTTTCTTATGTTACTATTTTTTTTAATGGATGTGCAGTTTATTATTGTTATTGTTATGATTACTATTATTTTTATTTCATCATCATCAGAGCATTTTTCCAACTATTTGGGGTCGGCTACACGAATCCTGGTCCCTCAATGGGGCCATAAGTCCTCATATCATTTCTCATTACTTCTAACTATGTCCTTATGGGCCTATCATTATTATTATTTTTTGATTGTTGTAAACAACGGGATCTAAAGTCATGATCTTGCTGTAAGCTGCAAGAAGGTCTACTACTACGACGTCCCAGTTTGTGTCGAGGTTTATTATTTATTAAATTATCACCTGGAATTTGGTTGATGCAGCTGGCTTCCTGATACGATCACTTTGCTTGCTCGCTTTGTCGGTGAACCGTCACCCGTAAAATCCACAGTAACAAAAACCATTGCTGAGTTCCGAAGAACCCATGCCGATACTTGGAGCATTCAAAAGGATTGCTTCACAGAAGACCAATTGGAGGTTCTCTCTCTCTCTCTCTCTCTCTCTCTCTCCACACAAGCAATCCATTCTAGAATATGGCTTTGTTGTCTCTTTTCAGTATATTGCATGTTTCATGTCTCTTCTTTACATGTTTTTTGTGGTCTGCTTTACAGGTCCTCACTGATTCATCCTCTTCATCTTCATACTTTGCGTAGTTATAGCCTTCCACCAAGGCCCGATGATAACTTTTAAGGCATTGAATACATGATAGAATGTGAGCTTATTTGTTTAATAATTTTTGTAAAAGTAATTTATTATTTACTGAGAATTGTATCCAGTTTATTATTGTATATTTATTCAATGTTGAAGGCTTACTCATCTTGGAGTAAAATAAAGTCTCCTCCCCCCCCCTCTCTCTCATCTCATCTTGGTGTTAAATGAAGTCTCTCTCTCTCTCTCTCTCTTTCTGTATCTCATCTTAACCAAGATGAAATAAAGTCTCTCTGTCTCTCTCTCTCATCGTGGAGTGGAATAAAGTCTCTCTCTCTACTACGTACTTTATCTTTTGGTCTAACTATTATTTGCATGGTTCTAACCTTTGCAGTCCATCTGGAATATTACAATACCAAGAGAATGGAATGTGGGGTATGACTGGTCCTTCAGGTGACGCTTTCTCATATCAGGTTCTTGGGCATGAATCCTGACTTGGCACTAAATAAGCCAAACACAAAGGAAGACTCCATGGTCCACACATAATATAAATGTTGCAATTTATTGTAGAAATGAGTTATCATATACACAGTGCCTTATCCAGTGCAAAATATTAAATGCTGTAAGTTTTTGTAGAAATGATTTATTCTGTGTGTGTGTGTTCATCGGTGTTGGGGCGCTTCCTCTCATTTTATGGGCGGGATGAATCTCTTTCTCTCAAAATCATGGCCCTTCATCAGACCATCGGGTTCATGAGATCGTCCGCTAGATCCCACAACACACACTCTGAATTGAAGACCCCGACCTCTTTCCCTGCCGCGCCTTGTGCTTCCTCTCCTTCATCATCGGCCCCTTTCTCAACCATTTGTCTATCTCTCTCTCCTCCAGTGCAAGTACTCCCACTGCAAACACTCTGACTCCATGGCTCTGATCCCTCTCCTCCATCTCCATATTGGAACCCTCCAACTCCTGCTTGATCGAAATCACCACACAACCCCACAAAACTCTCACCCCTGACAAGCCCGCTTTGAGTCCAATTCTTCGAGCACGGGCTCTCGGTTGCAATCCCATGGTGGGCTTGCATGGCTCTAGACAAGCCCATCTTGATCTTCTCCACTGTGGTGTTTTCTCTCTCTCTTGCTTCTTGTACTTGAGGCTCGTGTGGCCTTGGGTTGCTCTGCCAGTCTGTGATTCGTTTTTTGGTGAGGAGATGGAGCATCTCGTCTTTGAAGCAACCGAGAGCTGCCTCGGCTAAGTGTGCAACTTGGGGTGGGGCGAGAGTGGTAGCGATCTCGGCCATTAAGTGAGAGAAAGGCTTGTGAGTTACAGGGTCGATACCCATGCCTGAAAGCTTCTTCTTCAGTTTTGTGTTCCAATGGTTCTTCACGTCGTTGTCTGTGCGTCCGGGTAGTTGTGCGGCAATGAGCGACCACCTGCCATTTTGAGAGCCGTTTATTCAATTTTAGTTTATAAATGTTGATTTCCTCTCAAAACTTATCATCTAAGGTTTTTGTTCTTATTGTTTTTTGCTTCTTCTTCTTTTTATTTACTTATTTTCTGTTTTCTTTCCTTTGTGTATGTGTGTGAACTCATGTTTTCAGGTTGAATTCATTTTTCTTTATTTTATTTAATTTAGATTTTAGCTAAACTTTTTCAGCTTTATTTTTCGAGTTCACAAAAATTGAAACCTTAAGGTCTCGAACGTACCACTCCTTTACTCATAAGTTCCACTAGAAGTGTTCAAATAGAGTTTGCCAACTCCGAAATAAAGCTCCATCTTAAAGTGCTTTTGGTAGGTTGCAAAATAGAAGTGTTCAATTACGGGATAATATCACAAATGCACAAAGCAAGAATGTGATGAGCCAATTTTTTGGTATGTTCTATAATTTTTAGTGCGATTTACGTATGAAATCCTGTTTTAGTTTTGATATTTAAAAATAGTCCCATGTGTGTAATGTTTACAATCAAGTCTTCCCCCCCCCCCTTTCCCCCCATTTTGTTTTTTCAGAAAATAAAGTGCATTTTAATTTTATTTTGAGCTCAAATTTTGTTTGTTCATATTTTTTACTATTATACACCTATAAAAAATATTTAAAAAATAATTCAAAATAAATAAAATTGTCTAACTGCCCCTCTACTATTCGGGGCTTGTTTGGGAATTTTATTCATTGTAAAATACTTTTTATAGCTTTACAATGGTGAGAAAATATATACATATCAAATTTGAGCTTAATTTAACGTATAGACAAAAGATAGAAGTTTTATGTTCTAAAGAAATAGGATTATAAAATATGAATGACTTTTTAAATAAATTAAATAAGATTTTATTTATGAGATTGTATATTATGAGACCATTTGTCTTTGTTACAAGGGGGTTACAATTGCTACCGTAATTAGGTGTCAAATTGGATGGCTTGGAGTGTGCAACAAAGTTCAATTTTTTTTTTTTGAAGTTTTGAACCAATGACACTCACAATCACCCGATTTAAAATCTGATGAATGGGAGTGATTATAACTTCCTTGTATGCAAAATAAATAATCTCCTTATACACTTTTATTTTATTTATAAATTTCTCAAATTATTTGGGACTAAGCCGCTATTGATCATGTCCTCAAGCCTAACCACTAACCCAAATTGGCCAAACCCCCGTCTTTCTGTATCTCTTCATTAATGTAAAGAAAATATAATGAATTCATACACACCAGGGTCCTGACCCCGAGCCCCTCTAACTCATTCAAGTCCGAGTCGAACTATAAAAATTTTGTAAGAAAAATTCAAAACTTATGTAATAATGGGAGACGTGGTTGATTCCTGGGATTTTTGGCCTAGAATCTCTCGGCTCGGAACCCGGCCTATGTCCTTGGTTGAACCAGTGACTTTTTAAACAGTAGATTTATAGAAGCACGAAAGAGGAGGTTTTTATGATGATGATGATAGAATGATCTGATTGAGAGTATGACCTTTGATAGAATAAAATGGCAGAACAAAATTTACAGAGTAGATCCAGATAATTACAAAAAAGCTTGAATGACTATGAGTCGAAAGAGGAGGTTTTTACCTGTTCCCAACAACTGAGTGGAGTTTAACAATGGTTTGCTCCTCGACCTCTGTGAACTCGCCATGCTTGAGGTCAGGGCGCAGATAATTAGTCCAGCGTAGCCTGCAACTCTTTCCACATCTTTGCAAACCTTCATACCATAACACAATACTGTCATTTAATGTGCGATGTTCAGAAGTTGAATGTTTATATTACATCTCTTGTTTTAAAAAAAGATTCCAAGTCAAGAAAACCAGAATAAAAAATATTGGAAAAGTAAGGAATCGTGCTTGGATCAAGGCGATAGCAGCTGGATTTTCATAGCATTACTCAAGTTCCATTCCTATGTAATCTTGTCAAAAAAAAAAAAAAAAAAAAAAAAAAAATAACATAGAGCCCTATACATTTCAAGTTCCATTCCTATGTACATTGTACTCCCGGTGGAGAGCCCTATACATTTCATAAAGTAGTCATGCTAGAGATATAAAATTATCTTAGAAAATAAAGAATGGCCTATTTTTCTTTTTCAAAAGATTTGCGACAACAAAAATCATCCAAAAGTTCATTAACAATTTAAGGGATTGTATACTAAGACCATTTACCTTTACCTCTACAGTACAAGGTCACATCCACGCTAATGGGTAGTTAGCGATGTGTTTTGTAATTCGATAATTTATTTATTAATTTTGAATGCGTTTAGAGTTACAGTCTCAGCAGCTTAGACCAAGAATGATTGTGACTTTCTACTAAAGTTTAATTTTTTCCACTTTGAAACACAAGATCAATAATCCCTGAGAATTGCTAATCAGATTACCTTTTTTCTACAAAGATTTAAAGTGACCCGAGATGCACAAAAAATCACCTGCACAAAAAAAGTCTCAAAATTTCCAAAAGTACCGGGGGTGGGGAGGGGGGGGGGGGGGATATTGTAAATCAGGTAAACATTATGAGGTTGTTTTGAAAATAGTTAAAAGTCTGTTGACGTTCATTAATCATATCTAGAGAGAGAGAGTACCAGCATGGGGGAGGGAGGGAAACTAGAGAGAGAAAGTGTGACGGACATTACATGGGATGGGACGCCAATGAGAGAGAGAGAGAAAGGATGGCCGCATGAGAGAGAGGGAAGGAAAGTAGAGAGAGAGAGAGGGAAGGAAAAGAGAGAGAGAGAGAGGAGGAAGAAGAGAGAGAAGAAGACACAGTCTTAGTTTTGGATAGACGACGACGTAGGTTACGGTCGACTAGTGGTGGACTAGTAGGTAGGAGAAGTAAGTCGTTCGTCGT